TTATACACAATTGAGATTTATGCAATTCAGATGAATAAGAATGATAGCAATTGGTAGACCAGAGGGGAAGAATCTATTTATTGAAAACCTGTGTGAGACATATTCAAATAAAGCTTCAAATAAAATCAGTCATACTTGGTTTTACCTGTAGTTATGGAAATAAAACTGCAAATATCCTCCAAGTAATCTTAGGCTTCATTTATGTCCCCAGTAAAATTAAGGCAGGTATCACATGAACTTTTACTTACTTTACCTGGAAATAATGCAAAATTATTATTTTTGTCTGGGTTCAACTGGGGCTGACAAGGAGAGTATTTAAAATCTAACAGTATAAAGCAAAGATAAATGTTACACAACCAGGCATTTAAACATGGAAAACCTCAGCACAAATTCCTGAAAAATGAAACTTCCAAGGTTTCAACAGCTCTGTGATTTCAGAAATCAGCAGAACAACAAAATTAACTCATACCCAGCAGAGCCCAAATATATGTCTCTGAAGTATATGTGTTGATATGTTGGCCTAATGCAATCTGTGCAGAGAATCTGGGATGAACTTTTTGTGACTGGCTGTATTTCTCCTGCACTGGTCAACACAAAGCCAGGACTCTTCTAAGGCATTACTCTTTCCTGTGATCAGTTGGTTACTACTTAGAGGAAACTCAAGGATACCCTAACTAAACCTATCTGTTTAGTAAAGCACTAAAGAAATAATGTTGAATTATCAGATTCCTTCTGTTATTTGTATGAGAATACACTGTGCATTGTACACACAACTGTAAGGAGACAATTTTCAGAGGCTCTGACAGCAATTGAGGCTCAGAATGCTGGATGCTGTTACATCCCAGAGAAATCCTAAACCTTACAAAACACAACATTGCTAAACTTCAATTCTGGCAGATGCAAACTGTTTGAGACCCAGGGTGGTTTACCGTGTAAGGTATTCTACAAATAGAAGATGCTAAAATATTAATTCCTGAGGCAGTTGCTTTGTTCTCAATTCAGTGTTTCATCCAGTTGTGAAAATAAATGGGCAAAATTATTCAACCATCCCTGCTTGCATCCCCAAATCGCATGTATCATACACAAATTTTGTCTGATCAATATCTTAGTGAAGGCAAGGGGTCATGCCTGTTTGCATTCAGGCATGAAATAAGTAACTAATATTTTGACCAGTTGCATTTTACTAAGAATTTATAACTTTTGGTGGCTTTATTTTATAATTAGTTGCTCTAAAATTAATTTCATTAACAAAGCAAAATTGATGTTTAGCTGTGGGGTTCATACACCATGAGCCTTGAAATACAAGCATTTGTGACAGAGACTTTTTTTTTCATTTTAAACACTAGGGTCACAATTATTTATCACTATTTTTTTTTCCTGTTCTTAACATTTAAGTAAATCATAAATTCGAATAAAACACAGTTTCAAACACTTTAATGTCATGAACTAATCTTTCATGCTGTTGCACAAAAACTCATCATCACATGCCTTTGGCAATATAGCATTTGTTTACAGGAGAAAGCTCAGTATTTCAGGGACATTTGTCCTTTTAGATATATGTTAGGAGCAGGAAATAAAAGACAACTAATGGGGATTTCCATATCACAAGAAGAATTTAACTGGATCCCCATGGCTGACAGGTGAAACTGTGAGAGTGGTGAGAATGTCTGACCTACACATCAGGTGTAGTTTAACTAATAATGTAGAAATAATACACATATACATTACTTGACAGCTCTTCTGAGTGAGTGTCTTTGAGGATTACATAATTGCAGTTCAGCTTTACCCAATGTTGTTGACCTTCAATAAAATTTCTTTTCTTTCTTCTCATTATGTTAATTAGAAAATAATGCTTGAAATGGTGGGATAATGAGTAATCAGTTTATCAAATCCACAGTCAGATAGACAGCTTTTAACTTACATCAACATGCTCACAGTTCAGGTGATACTATTCAAGTCCTAGTCAGAATGGTAGACTAAAAACACACCTGCATGGAAGCCTGAATTTGGATACAGTGGAATTGAGCCTCTGATTTAAGCACACTATGACTTCCAAATTCTAAGTCACAATGGGAATTTATGAATAATTTTTGTCACATTTTTTTCAAGATTAAAAACAAACTAATAAATATGAGCAAAAATGACAGAACAGGAAAAGGAAAAAAATATAAAAAAGCTGCTTTCAGCTTTACTATGTTCTTGTTCTACCTTTGCAGCTTTGACTCTTGCAAAATCTAAACAGATATTTAGGTTCATGAAAGAAAAAATACAATTCTTCTCTGGAAAAGAAAAAATGAAATCTGAGTATACTTAAACTTCAATTTTGTTTCATAAAGCATCACTAAAAAGGTGAGAGCACACCTAATAGCCATATATGTCACTGTATATTTCAAGTCAATTTTGTGTGGGCTGATATATGACTGAAAATTTCTCTGTTTGGATTAAACAGCATTTTGGAAAGTATTAAATCAGATTATGATCTAATAACCAGTTCCCAAAACCTTGCAGAGGATACAGTCTACTACAGTTTTTTTCTAATAATCCTAATAGTCCCCTTTTCACATAGAAACTGAAATTGTTTTAGCTGTTATTTCCCCTATTTTTTTCCAATAAGTTTAGAACTGCTTTAGCTTACACTTACTGTATGTACTCTAGTCTAAATTCCCTGCAAAATAAACAAACTTGCTGTTTAGAGAAGAAAATGGATGTAGAACATGTAAAATTAATTGGAGGGATGTAATGATTTAGTCAGAAACTGACCATTTTAAATAAAAAGGTTATGTGTATGCATTATATATTACTCCCTAATTTGGGAATCTACAATATAATAATATTGTAGATTAATAAGACTTATCTACAATAATAAGTCTTATTAAAAAAGCAAAATGAAAACAAAAATCAGAGAATATTTGGTCTGCAAATATGGTGCTGCTTTTCCTACTTTGACATATTTTAAGTTAATCTTATTTTATATTATACTTTTTCTCTTCTGCACAGCTTTAACATTCTCAAATTGTAACATCATTAATTGCTTTAAAAAACTCTTTTAAAATACATTAATGAGGTTGTTCCAAGTTCCATTATATGTATTCTGTGCAGACAAAATGTATTTCTAAAGACCTCTTTAGAGTTGCATTGAGACATATTTCCCTAGTTCGATCAAAAAGAAAAAACATTAAATGAAATCAAACAAGTAAAAATAATTCAATACATCAGGAAATGACCTAACACTAACAAAGATTCTAACTCAGTTTTGCTAACCTTGTTAGGGAAAGAAAAGCTTTCATAAAAATTTGTCAACTGCCAGCTTTTGCAGACAGAGAGAACAAAGTCATGCTGCAGTAAAACCAAAACCAGAAATTGAGCTCTTGGGTTCAAGATCATAAATAGTATCAGTGTGAGAACAACACACAGGAAAAAAGTTGCAGCAAATTTGCTTGTGCACCTGCTTGTTTGTAATACGGAACAAGTGTCCTGGGAAGCGCAGCAAACTATGACAGTGTGCTACAAGTAATGTTATCAGACGGGCAAGAGAACAGCAGGGCTTCCCACTCACGTCTTCTTTCAGTAGAAACTAAGCTCAAAGTTATTGGAAAAAATGGAAAAATGTTATTCATGTCTTTGAGACAAGTTTTCATTTAAAAGTTAATATTTATTCAGCAATTCAGTTCGCAAATGTATAATTGATATATCACTATTGCTTGGAAGTTCTTGTGTATGTGACAGACGACTAGGAGTGTTTTATGGAAACTGCTATATATGTAACATCTCACACCATATATTTAGCAAAGCAAGCTGTGTTTATCTAAAATCTGTGATTTAGTTTAATCCCCATTTCAAAAAGGAAAAATTACTAAAGACAGGAGCAGAAATACTTCTTGCTTCACTTATAGTTTGCAGATACATAAAACAGTGTTACATCTGAAAACTTTAAAAAAATGAGCACTTGCCTGGATTTCTTTTTGCTTTCATTGTGTATATTCTTTATGATAAGATAAATGTGCTTTTGGGGGCTGCAATGAAATCCATAATTTAGTTTAATATTAAGTTCTTTACAAAAATATCTTATACATGATTAATAGATTAAAAAAACCTAACAATGTATTACAAGTCCATCATTATGGATTGCTTATAACACCCTTGTTACCCTGTTATAGGACTGATGCCTCTAACCAGCAATAATATTTATTCTTTTCAAATACATGACATAGATATAAAATCTATTAATCATGCATTAACCTGTTATAAGCTCAACTTCTACTTACAGTGCTATCAAATTACATTTATAGTTTTTACCTTAAGTAATTAGTTTTGAATTCTGAATGTAATTCCAAATGATACAGGGAGTTATCAAGCACTGAGACTTGGCATGTAAGACAACTAAATACTCATGCCTTTGGTGTGTGAACATTGCAGTTTAGTCAGTCTAGCCCTGAAAGTTTTTATTCTGCTACCATACTAGTCATGGGTTTAGAAATAATTATACAGACCATTGTTTTCATAGCTTTTTAAAAAGAAAACAAAGATAATATAATTTCTCAAAAAATAAAGAGTCCAAACCTTTTGGCAGTCTGTTTCCCCCTTGTAAATAGCAATCATTTACCTGTATCTACTTCGGTTTACAAGAAAACACTTTTTAGCCACTACATGACTTTTTTGTTAGCAGCCAATGATGTGATGCTCGAAATTATTTTGTAAAGAACACTCTGAGGTGGAAGGTGTTTGGTTTTGTTCCTCTTGGTTTATCGTTTCATTGGGTAATATTGTTTAAAAAGACAGACAAGAAAAAAAAAAGAAGCAAATCAAAACCAAAAAAAAACCTCCCTGGGACTGAAATACTTTGTATGTGTTGTTGTTTGCAGTGCATGCCAAGACATTCATGGGCACCAGAGCCAACCTGGCGAGCTAATTAAATAAATAAATGTATATGTTTAAAACAGCCTTATAAGGAGCATTGGAAATCTGCAAGATGAGCGAATATCTTATAACTTCTTCCGCAGGTGCGAGGATAGCTACAAGCCATGGACTTTCTGTCCTGCTTCTTGTTTGTGGCTTTGTGAAGGGTGCTTTGCTTTAATCTAAAAGTGCTGACTTTTTCCAATATCACTTTCTCTTCTTAAAGCAAAGAGCAAATCGCCTGTAAAATCCACGGAGCGGACAGCAAAGTTGACCCTAACCTCCAACCACCACTCTGCACCCAATGTACTCTAAATCTCTACACAAGGAGCACCTTCTTCAGGAAGTACAAACAAAATTACTAAATAAATAAAATAAAATAAAATAAAATAAATATTATAAAAAAGAAGAGGATACCACATGTTTTCTTGATATATCTTATTTTCTTTGGCGTATCACTGATATTTTATTTGAAGAGAACTGGTGTGATGTAATCAAACGTTTTGTAACAGCAAGACCTAGTTTCCTTTTCTTTCGGCAAGGAGAAGCCTCATCCTTGACTTCTCAGGGGTTGGCCTGCGAGTCCTCAGTATTACAGAATTAACCATGGATGACATTTGGTTTCCTACGCTGAAAGAATTGTTCCAGCCTGGAAGCAAAAAGAGGCCAAATAATGAAACAAACTATAGTGATTTAAGATAAATAGAAAACACACAAACTTTATGAATTTTTTTTTTCTTTTTTTTGGTATTTTTTTGTTGGGTTTTTTTGGGGTTTCTTTTTTTGCATGAGGAATAGGAATATTCTACTAAGCAGCTCAGCAGACTAGGGGATGTTGTTTCTGAAAAACATATGAGGATATTTTTCTTTTGAGATTTTTTTTCTTTTTGCTTTTCTATATACTATTCTTTTCCCCCTTTGGGCTTTTTTCCCTGTCTTTCTGTTTGTTTCTTGTTCAGTGATGGCAAGTACCAACTTAGGCCAACCCCTGATGACTATGTGGAGGTTTATATATATACATCCTTTTTTTTTGTGTGTGTGTGCGTTCTATATTTCAGTGTGTTTTCTCTAATTTTGCAACTCCTGTATATGCAAAACCAACTTCAATTCTGTAAATTGCTTACAGTCTGTGTGATATAACTTCAGAGTAGACATACTTTGGTCCTCATGCAAGCCAGTTTTTAATATTATCTGTATGTCGTGCCACCAAGAAACATCTTTATTTTCTTTTTTGAAAAAACACCACTTTTTAGTTTTTAATTCAGTAATGTGTGGATTTTGTAATGCATATCTTCACTTTGACTGGTTTGATCCCCTTCAGCCCTCTGTTTACTCTGTAAATGCACATTAAAATTTGTTATGGTCTCTAGACAATGAATTATTTTAGTTTGTATGTTGTGTTGGAGTTCAGATGCTGAAAGCTCTTTGAACTTGTGATGTTTATAGAAGATGAAGTGATTCAATCACTAGAGACTGTAAAATGCAGGTTTGCTGTCAAATACTGCACATTAAGGAAGGTTAGAAACAGAAAACCGACAAATAAACCAGAACATGTCTTTAAGGATGTTCTTTTGGTAAAGAGTTTTAGGAGAGTGAATTTATTACACTGATAAAATATATTTGCATCACAGCTCCTTCTACATGGCCAAAGAAGTGTTTTCTTTGCTTTTTCTGAAAGTGAATTGTCATTACTCATTGATATTCTTAATTAAAATACTTTTTGTCTGTGAACTGAATGTGAGAATTTTGCTGTTGAATGATGTAATATGTGTTACATGAATTACATTCATTAATGCAGGAAGCAAAAATTGCTACCATTTGCAGCTGCAATCAGGAAGGTTTTTTGCTTTTTCCCGTCTTTCCACTGATGCTGAAAAATTCACACCCTTTCATTTATCAGCACAGACAATCACATACACCACATGCTTATTATGATCTATTTATAGCAGCATTAAGTAGCTGCAGTGTGGTCAGCTGTGTGATTTCTCCTCACTTTGTAAGTACTGCAGAAGAAATTTTAAAAGTATGTTTGTTATCTCACCAGTCTGTGGTCTACAGGCCTAACATTTTATTTCAAAATGCTCATAAGTCTGATGTCTTCCCCCATTACTTTAAAGGGATTAAGAACAAATAAAGGCATAGAATCACCATTTTGTTAACCTAATGCTTTGGAACAGGATAACATATTTGTGCAGATCTAATTTTCCATAAATTCTGTAGTATAAGCTTGACTGGGAATAGTCAGTCTTTCTTCAGTTTTAGACAAGTCTTAGCAGTAATAAAGAGAGAAGAAGTTCAGCATAATACAAACAAATCAGGTGTAACCATCAGAAGAAATAAAATTTTTATTATTTCAACATGACCCACTTAGAGTGTTGTATATTGAGAAAGTTTTTCTCCATAGTTATAACAGTTTATCAGGTTACTGACAAAGAAATTAAAAACTGCCCCTATTAAAATGTTCTGAATCCAAGCTAATATTGTGGATCACAGAGGACAGAAAGAGGAAAGAAAAAGTCAAGGGTCAGAGCTCTTTTGAAGTCTCACTTTCTGAACACACCTGTGGAACCAAACTTTGAGAGTTCTGTAGAAAGATCTCCATTTTCTTTCTGAAAAGGATATCTGTGACTGGATGATGTGAGAATCTGCTGCTTGAAGCTCAGAAACCTCAGTTTTCATTTGTCTTAACTGGAACCAAATGCTTAATGTCAAATTACTGTATTGTTTACTGTATCCATATATCTTGTATGAATATTCCATGTATGCACATAGAGACTACCCATCATGGCATATGGGATTTGACAGCACAGTTTAGCCTCACATTGCTTAAGTTGTTACTATGTTAAACTGATACTGTGTTTTGCTTTATGCTGTTAGCTGCTTGGATATGAACCACCATGTACTAGGAATTCAGATTAAAGAACGAGCTGAAATTAAAAGCAGAATTCTAGACGACTTGGATTAGTGTGATGCAAGCCCGAAGACATTGCCATGTTGGGATCTGCTATTGTACAACTGTGCCAGCAAAAAAAAAAAAAAAAAAAAAAAGAAATCTGTAGGAGTTTAGGAGTTTGAAAAGCCTTTACATTTTCCATGAGAAGCTAAGAGGACACAGAAATTTTCCTCCTTTCCCTCTTGAAACAACATACCCAAGTTCTTCAGATGAGGCTGATTGAGCCTTTCTGGTTGCAGATCTAGAGCACAGCTTTAGTTTCTGCCCATCTGTGTGGATGCAGCAGCAACAGGAGCAGGTATTACATTTCTAAATTTCTAAACTGTGTCTTAACAGCTATTCTTCAAATTAAAAATTTATCAAAGTGGAAGTTAAGATAGAGTAGACACCCTTGTTTCTAGGAATTCTGTTATGAACAATATTTGGCATAGGAGTGAATGATGTTAAATCCAAACAAGAACTGCACCTGGATTTTCTGCCAGGTGCAGTTCTTGTTTGGATTTAACACAAATAGTTTTTAAAAAAGCAGCTTATTAAATCCTGAAAAACTCCCTGTTTAGTAGGGTATTTAGAAGGGCAGTTTGCATCTAACAGTTGTAACATCTCTCAACTCAATGAGTTACAAAATGAGTCCAGTTTTGAGGTGGTCTTTTACATGACTCATGCTTCTCAATTTGTGTCCCCAACGCCTCATTGCATATGGTGACGTTCTTCAGGTCTTTCCAACAGGTTTTGCTTTTCATAGAAGAATAAACATGGGTGAGTATGAAACACTTTTGTATTTCAAGGTATATGCCATCTACACTCACACACTTTGAGATCTGGTGTATCATCAGGCTAAAAGAAATGTGTTCCAGTCCAGTGAGATGTCAATGACAGCCTTTGTATTATATGGAAAAAAGATCAATGGCATTTTGGTACTGCTACCAGGCATTAGTACTGCAAAAGAGCCTGTCTCAAAATTTCTCCATTTCAATGGTTATTAAATATTCTTTTAAGCTCTGGAACCTCGTGCATAGAAGTTGCTTCATAAAATATTTGAATGTCTCTTTCTTAATTGTATTTGGTAAACTTTGCAAAGAAATTTGTGGAGCATGAGGAGGGCTCAGACCATGGATTTAAAAAATCTTGACAGACTAATTTAAGATTGACAGTTCCTCAGAGCTCCTATTAAGAAAACTACTAGAAAATTCGAATGGTAAACACAGAATCTATCAGAAGTAATTTTTATTTCTTTTTAATTCTTAATATTGAATATTTATATTGCAGCACTACCTGAAGGCAAAGATCATAAGTAGGTATAAACATGAGACACCATGGCAAAAACAATAGGATTCTTTGGAGGTTTATACTTTTTCATCTAATTTAGTGCTAATGTGATTCAAGACCAGAACATGTGCTAAAACCCGTTTTTTTTTCACATTCAGTCTTTGAAGTGCTATCACTTTGTTCAAATAAAGTGAAGAAACAGTGACCAGCACAAAAAATCTGATTGGTTGCCTGATATTTTTCAGTGTTAAACACTTAACTTCTAATGAACTTTAATTTCTAATGATCTTAACTTCTAACAGTCTTAAGTGATGTCATCATTTAAGTCATCATTAAAAATAAACCCAACAAAATCCCCCTCCCCAAAAACACTAAAACTGGCACAGCTGAAAATCTTAAATTCCTTCCTTAAATAAAAATAAAAAAATATATAAAAAAAAATTCAAACCTTTGTCATTTACAGGGTATGGGAACATTTTTCCATGACATTACTGTTGGTAAATGTCAAACGTTGTTTATAGAGCTAAAAGCATTAGGAACCAAGATTGGGATCATCATACTTTGTAATATAAATTTTTAAAGGTTAATCTTCCATGATTAGCTCAGCTAAACAATGCTAAGCACACAGTAAATTGATTAATGCAACTCACTATAAATGCCTTCAGTCTTTTGTTCTAAGCTTCCTAAATATTGATTTATTTCATTTCACAGTCGTAAAGTTTGCACATACATTGACATAGATGAAAGATTATACATAGTTTTTCTACTGTTATTAATCCAAAGAAATGTAAGAAGAAAGTTAAATTTGTCTGTAACAATGAATTACAATCAATTGGTGAAGGTACTTGCAAAGAAACAAATGTGTTCTTTCTTGAGAGTCAAGTTTAATTGCAATTCATTACTTAAATTCTCCTTTTTGTGCTATTCTTTTTTGCAAGCACTTCAATCAACTTCTAAAACAATACTATATATCTTATTACTCCTTACAAGGTGACAGGACAAAATAATGTCACCATTTTTATGAAAAATCTAGTGTGGAAAACCAATTTTTTTTTCATTTAACAACATTTTAAACTCTCACTGTTTACAGTATCTTATCATCTCAAAATATCTTGAGATATATTAATATATATATATATAAAGAGAGAGAGAGAGGTAGATATATATAGATATAGATATATATAATTTGATTTCCAACTCTATCATGTTGATAATGGAGATGGTCTTTAGATGGGAGCAAATGAATTTTTCAATTATTGAAATGCTCTTTACACTGATATTACAGCACTGAAAGAGTTCTTATGTGTATATGAGATTATTTACTGAGTGACAGCTCATAAGGAAGCCAAAACATACATAATAGACTATTAATTCCTTTCTTGTTTTTATATGCCATGAACTTGAAAAACAAGAGAGAAGATTGCATCTGACAACTAGCTGCTTAAAATAAACCATTTCATTCAAATCTTTGAAGAAACAAATTCCTTATTTAAATGCCTTGTACAACTATAACCCTTTAAAATATATGGGGCTTGGATTTTTAAGAAAAGTTATATATATTATATATCTTTGTACATCAAATTTTGGAAGGAAGGAATTGCTACTTCTGATAGAAGATTATGTTCATTGCTGCTGATTGTCTTCAATACCAAATGATTTAAAAGACCCTTTAAATTACTGGCAACCATACTTTAAAAAAAATCCAATTTTTCTTATCACGTACAATACACTTTAGTTTCTGCATATTAACCAGCACTGGTTCAGATTTTAAAAATGTTGTTTTTTCATCATAATAGAAAAGACGTAATCCATACTTTATTAAAAATAAATGTCAACATGTTTACAAAACCACCTTAATGTCTTTTTCTTTGGTGATTCATGCACAAGATATGTTTTGTTCATGTATTTAATCTGCTCAATGGGGCTAAGCACTGTAAAAAAACCACAGAGGAAAGTAGTTCCTAGTTGTTCCAGCTACTAGTTGAAATGATGTGTAAGAGAGAAAACAGAGATGTGACTCTTTCTGTTTCCCTACAACAGCCAGAAAACAAAGAACCTTCACAGGGTCTAAGAAAACAAATCACTGCTATAAAAAAATAACAGTGGTAGTTCAACTTTGCAACAAGGTGAAAAACAATGGAATTGAATGCAATTTCTTTAGCAAAACGCAAAGCTTTTTCTTCCAAAACTATTACTCTCCCCACCAATATGAAAGAAGGTCTTGCAATTTGGGCTTTGAAAGGCAAAGTATTTGTCCACCTCTTGCAACTGCACAATGGCAGCCCCAAAGAGACTCAGCTGTCTCCCTTTCACCAGCTCTGTCCTACATATGATTATTAATCATGAGGGCACTTAGAAAATGAATATATATTACAGAATAATAACCTTCTATACTTACAGCTTTTTAAAACTATTTTTAACAGAAAAATCTTTTTGTCTCAGTTAACTTTATTTTAAAAATTAAGACAATGTTTATATAATTCATAAGCATTGTAGATAGTTTGTTTTATTTTT